ATGGATGTATGGATGGGAGGGATGGATGGATGGATGGATGGATGGGAGGGATGGATGGGAAGGTTGGATGGGAGGGGTGGATTGATGGATGGAAGGGAGGAATGGATTAATGGATGGATGGGAGGAATGGATGAATGGATGGAAGGGAGGGAGGGAAGGATAAAAAATAAAAAGCACAACTATGACTACAACGAATAAAAAGAATCTCTTGACCATCCCTCTGTCGTAGACATAAATAAAACAATAATCATTTCCACCTTTCAGCTTGGTTATGTCTATTCATACACATGATATGTACATACCTTGGGTCTTTTGTACCCCCCTATACCACCTGTAATGACCTTCAAGTCTCTTTCCTTTTCCAATTCTATGATTTCATCAAAGATTTTCGGTGAAACAGTTATGTCCTAAGCAGGAAACAATGGATAACATTAGAAAAGATTATTGAAGTAAATCTGACTATCAAATCTTGGTCCTAGACAATGACATTGTGAGGAAAGATGAAATTACAATACCTCTTTAAGCAGACACCCTTCATTAAACACACTGTCTTAGATCAGCCCAGAGGTTGTCTTAGGGTTCAATCTGTGAGTAAGCCATACCCTGACTTATATCAGCCCAGAGGTTGTTTCAGGGTTTGATCTGTGAGTTAGCCATGCCCTGACTTAGATCAGCCCTGAGGTTGTTTAAGGGTTCGATTTGTGAGTTAGCCATGCCCTGACTTAGATCAGCCCAGAGGTTGTCTTAGGGTTAAATCTGTGAGTTAGCCATACCCTGACTTATATCAGCCCAGAGGTTGTTTCAGGGTTTGATCTGTAAGTTAGCCATGCCCTGACTTAGATCAGCCCTGAGGTTGTTTAAGGGTTCGATCTGTGAGTTAGATATGCCCTGATTTAGATCAGCCCAGAGATTGTTTCAGGGTTCGATCTGTGAGTTAGTCGTGCCCTGACTTAGATCAGCCCTGAGGTTGTTTCAGGGTTCCATCTATGAGTTAGCCAGTTACTATACTGACAGCAAAATATCAGGGCCCTTACTTTTGGGGGATCAGCAACCACACTTCCCTCCCCTTCTCCCCATTATCATATATGAAAACTGAGGTAATGGATTCAGTTGCTCCGAGTTTCCTTGTATCTCGACTGGATGGACAAGAGAAAGGGGAGGGGGAGACGAGAGAGAGAAGGGGGGGGGGGTCATTAATAATGGGTGTAACTCATTTGGTAATCCCTTTGAAACTAAAGATCTGTTCCATCTGTTCTGTGTAGCTTTAGCTCTAAATTCTCATAATAAGGAGCACTGATAGCCTGAGGGGGTAAAGTGCATACTTTTGGGTGCTTTATACATGAGCCCCTGGCTTGGGAGAATTGGGCATAACCACTTCCTGAGTTCTAAGCTATGGAAGTGAAATAAATAACTCTAACTTACGTTTTCTTAGCATTCTTACCTCAAGAGAAAGGAACTTGATGGTATTGTGGGTTCTGATGACATTAAGAAGGCATTCCACTCCTACATCACCAATAGGGTTTCTACCAATCTAAAAAATCAAAATATAAATGATTTATTATAATATTAGTCCAGTCAATCTACGACTTTTTGGGGGTCCAGTTCAAACTAATCAATATATTGCAATAGAATTTTTTAAAAAATATAGTAAAATAAAATATTGATAAACTGGTGGTCTTCTGAAAGAGAGGGGTTAGCTAGGGGGCAAGGGGGCCTACACCCCCATCCTCACACCTAACAAAATTAAACATATATATAGTCACATGGTAAGTTTGACTAACTGATGTTCTGAAAACTGGTATTGTCTCCCCCCCCTCTCCCAAGGCAAAATCCTTGCTCAGACCCTGCTTGGTAACAAAATATAAAATGTTCACGTTATTTACTTGGTGTTGAGCTGAGTATAATGAATGCTGTAACCTGCCAATACTTGAATTTATCAATAAAAACACATTTCGTTCATCTTATTTTGGTCATTAAATTCATTATTTTCTCAATAATTGAGGTCATTTAATTTTCCCATCATATTTTTGTGAAACTTTTTAGAAATCGTGAAATTTCAAATGYCCCGAAAATTTTGTGCAATGAGCTAGGTACTTTTCACCTTTTCACTACAAGAGTCATTATCAATGGTTTTCCCTTATTTCTTTGTAAGCAGACGCGTCTGGCACCTGAGGTCTTACACATGCGCAATGGTTTGGTGGTAGTCCTGAGCAGCTGCCTGCAGCTGACTATAGTATAGTTTGGGTTCCCTGTGGTAAGTCACCTTACAAACCTTTAAAACCTTTAGATTAGGATGAGATGAAATTCCTGCAGCAAGTTTCTGAGTACCAAGGAGACCAATGCGATTGTTACTGATGTCTAACTCAATGAGGGCTTCGTTTTTCTTGAGGAATCGACCAAGAGCAACACAGCCAAGCAGAGACAACCCATTCCATGATATATTGAAGTGTGTCAAACAGTCATTAGTCTGAAATAGCAACATCAAAATTCACATTAAATTAGTTCTAGTGAAATGAATAATGCGGTAAAGATTTAGGGAACATAAAGCATTTAAGAGGTAAAGTTTGGATGGCAAATAGCTTGCTATTGGCGGCAGTTTCTTTGAAACACTCAATAAGAAGCGGAGATAGGTACCCCTTATTCCACTAATTCCTTATCCGGGGTCAAAACAATTAAGTTTTCTTCTCCTGTCTTTTCTTCTCAGATTTGAAACCATTTCTCACATAAATGTTTTTCATTGTTTTGTCCCCCTAGATCAACATCACATGCAAGTGGTCTAAAGGTGACGAAGACGTCTTTTGGACATCAGAGAATGACAACAGGAATGTGGTTGGGGAAGGGAGGGTGGGAAGGAATATGAATGCCTAAAAGATTGTATTGGTTAACGTAAGTAGTTTTAACTGGTTAGAAATACATAGACTACATAGTGGCTGCCAGAGGCACCTTCCAATGCTTTTAGTTTGACCCCGTCGAGCTGCACCAATGTGGTACTTGCGGTAAGTTGTGATTAAAAATAACAAGGAAAAATAAATGATTCAATAATTGTTTTTATTTATTTAACCATATATTTTCTAATTGTTTACTCCAAGAGCCATAACGGCTTTTCTAGGGAGATCTTGTCAATAAATGATCCTTAAAGAGGTAAGAAAATGACACAACTAGTATTAGGAAAACCCAAAGGAATGGAAGAGAAATTGCTTCTTAAGTTAGCTGAATACTATTAGGTGAATGATTGTACCTTGAGTGCCTGTGCAAGGCCAACCGCTCCTTTAAACCTAATGCTATTCCAGCTGACATCGAAGTGCTTCAGGCCATAATTCATTGCCTTTTAATGAAACACAGAAACATGAAAACAATACTTTTGCAATACAATATTTTGATTTACAACCAATTGATGCCTCCCAGCTCTCCTATCTTACCATGGCTTAAATTAAGGTATGTTCTATTGCACACTTAATGTTCAACTTCATTCATACCAGACTAGCTCCTAAGTAGATGCCTCCCAGCTCTCCTTTCTCATTGTGGCTTAAATCAAGGTATGTTCTATTGCACACTTAATGTTCAACTTCATTCATACCAGCCCAGCTCCTAGATAAATGCCTCTCAGCTCCCCTATCTCATTGTGGCTTAAATCAAGGTATGTTTTATTGCATACTTAATAACAGTTCAACTATATTCATACCAGACCAGCTCCTAGATAGATGCCTCCTAGCTCTCCGATCTCATTGTGGCTTAAATCAAGGTAAGTCAATGTTCTGTTCTCCTTTAGTGCATCAGCGAAGACTTTAGCAACCTTGTCTGTCAGATGATTTGCTATAATGAAAACCAAAAACAAGTTATAGGCAATTGTTTTCTTACTTCCTAATTTATATAAGATTTGAATAAAGAATACATTTTATCAAACCCTGCAACAACCTCTGGGCTGATCAAGAGAGAACTTGCAGTGAGAGCACTTCCCTCTGACTAAGGTGACCTGGGTTCTATTCCTGGACTCAGCGTCATGTTTATGTTAGTAGAACTGTTAGTTTGTTCTCTCCTAAGCTTTGAGAGGTTTTCTCCGGTTTTTACTCCCTCCACAAATATCTACTACTTAGATCAGTAGCCTTATCAAGTGGTTTGCAAAACCGATTACTAGGCTTTCTGTCCACCATGGAGCGGTATGTAATTTGAATTAGATTTCCTCGATGAAGTGAAGCAAGCTAAAAAGCTACATATTAATTATTTCTCTTTTTCCTTAAAAAAAAAAAATTATTCCTTTAACTCACATCTAAGAGAAAGTTTCTTTAGGGACTGATTCTTGTAAAGCATTTGTCCAAAAGCAATTCCTCCTTCAGTCCTAATGAAATTCATTGACAAATCCTGAAAAGATCCATCAAATATATTCTAGGGTATAAGTTGTTCTGATATGATGTTCAGCATACAAGACAGTATATATGTAGGTTCTTCCAGCCCCCTCCCCCCTCTTAAAAGAAGATATTATTTTTAATGTTCTGTTACTGTCTTATCTTTAATCAATTTTAGAATGTAACTCAGTATTTAAATCTGTAGCTTGTTATGAATGGTTGCCATTTCTGGTCTCCCTGTAAAAATATACGTCCAGCTGAATGTCAAGTTTATGACTCACAGTTTTTACGACTGATACCAAATGATTGATAAACCTTAAGGTGTTTAACCTTTACAGTGTTTGCACACATTATGATAGCACTAATTAAATAAGCTGTGGTTAGAGTAACCATATACATTGTAGGGGAATATTATATTACATGTGGACACTCACCCAGAAAATTATACTCAGTCTTCAAAGTTGTGGAAATTTACTTCTTTGTTCCAGCTGTGATTTTAAAAATTATTGTTTAAGACTTTTTAAATTGATTCTGACTCTTAATGATAAAAATCATTACATAGTTATCTTTTAATTGGAAATGATGTCTAAATTATCACCATTATCATTATTACTAATGGTTTTAAATAATTCAACATTAATATCAATTATTTAATATCAATTATCAATTTATTAGTAATATCATAAAATATGTTATAATTATAATAAAACAATAATAATAATAAATTGTAAAAATGTTAATATATTAATTGATTTTAGTGTAAAATTTATAAGTATGATCAAATTTATAAGTGATTATTAAAGGACTATTATCTTTAAAATTTAATCAAATAAAATAGTCTAAAGGCATCGTGTTTTCTCATACATGTATAATGGCAATTTTGAATGATAATCTGTGGAAACAATCCTTAAAAAATATATAACAATATTTTTTGTCTTTGCTGTTTGCTGTTTGTTATAATCTATAGACAGCAAATGTTTCATATGAAAAATTACCGTAGTATCCTCCTTCCCATGGTCCCACATCTGCTCAACTACTATGCTGCAAAGCCAAGGGAAAAGAACCACAACGTTCCCTTGGGGTGGGGGCTTGGGGCTTATTTAATTTGTTGTGACTCAGACTAGGGGCTATTAGAAAGCAGGCTTATTAAAGGCTGGGGGCTTAAAGGGGCACTTGGATGAAAATGCCCCAATCTTTGAAAGTCCGAATAATTGAAGTATTTGAGGATAATATGACTCAATTATAATTATGGAAATCTGATTAGTTAAAATTCTAGCCTAGCAGCCACTTGCTGTTGAAATATTTTGGGTTAAAAGCGAAAATTTAGATGCTGAATAAAATTGATAATTTTTCCCCGCCACTTTCAATTGTGAAGGAAACATGTGCTTGGCTACTATCTGGGCCATATAGATATTAAGTTTAAACAAGTTTCAAGTCATTTCCAATTTTCATTGATTTTCATCCAAGTGCCCCTTTAATAGAGGAAATGTAGTATTTCATCAGCGTAGATAAGCTTGACAATTTTTTTTTTTTTTTTAACTAATTCAAACATGATTTATACTTACAATTTCTGTGATAAAGCAGTTATCAACAAGCATTTGTGAGATGGCTATGGCACCATGACGCTCAATGTAGTTATCTGTCAGATCTAACTTCTCTGTAAAAGTATTTTTCTAAAACAACATATCAGAATAATATTATTAAAATTATCACAAAGCTTTTTAGAAAATAAACTGCAAAGAGACTGCAATGATAAAAAATGTATGAGTGGGATGAATGGAAGGATGGACAGACAGACAAACGGATGGATGGATGGATGGATGAATGGATGGATGGAAGACAGAATCCAAAAAAATCCTTGTGCAACCTTTTTTTATGAACTTTATAATGAGTGGTTAGATGCAGAATTTAGACTGCAATGATGATGCGTTGGATGAAAAATGTATGAGTGGGATGAATGGGAAGTGGGATGATTTATCACAAGTGGTTAGATGCAGAAGAAGGACAACATTGAATGAGTTTTTATAAAACAAATAAATAAATAAATAAATGATAACTAATACCTTCAAAGATCTAGCAATCGGTAGAGTTCCTTCTTTTCCCAACCCATGGTGCCTCATTATGATTTCTTTCTCCTTGAACCTCTTGCTAAGAAATGACACAGGGACCAAGTCTACAACAGAATTAATGTGATGTTTTAAAGATAATCTACATGACATTGTACTCTGTGGCTYTCTCACTCCATTTTTTTGGGTTCAAGGTTTCATTATTGAGGTAAACAGAATCATTATGAAATCATAATGTATTGTATATAATCATAATATTTGTCCACTGAAATTGATTTTTGCAAAGGGAGTAAAAGTTGGGAACCCAAAGAAAAGCAACTCTCATACAACACTACCCCTCCCCGCAGTCATCAGCACCTTATTCAAAACTACCAACCTTTTTGTTTGCAGGATTTGATGTACTGCTCTCTGCCAGATGGGTCAAATGTTCTGGGTGGTTCTAATAGATGCACATTTCTTCATTAAGCAAACATTTTTGTCTATATTAACCTGCACTATGGTGTGGTTAATGGGTGGTAAGTGGTCTTCAAGGTGTCGGAAAGTGGTTGGTAGGTGTTGGTTAGTGGTCAGCAAGGTGTTGGTTAGTGGTTGGTAAGGTGTCTGTTAAGTGGTTGGTAAGGTGTCAGACAGTGGTTGGTAAGGTTTCAGACAGTGGTTTGTAAGGTGTCAGTAATATTTTTGGTTGGTAAGGTGTTGGTAAGAGTTTCAATGAGTGGTTGGTAAGGTGTCAGTGAGTGGTTGGTAAGGTGTTGGTAAGAGTTTCAATGAGTGGTTGGTAAGGTGTCAGTGAGTGGTTGGTAAGGTGTTGATAAGGTATCAGTGAGTGGTTGGTAAGGCGTTGGTAAGGTATTAATGAGTGGTTGGTAAGGTGTCAGTGAATGGTTGGTAAGGTGTCAGTGAGTGGTTGGTAAGGTGTCAGTGAATGGTTGGTAAGGTGTCAGTGAGTGGTTGGTAAGGTGTCAGTGAATGGTTGGTAAGAAGTCAATGAATGGTTGGTAAGGTGTTGATAAGGTTTCAGTGAGTGGTTGGTAAGGTGCTGGTAAGGTTTCAGTGAGTGGTTGGTAAGGTAAAAAGGTAAAAGAATGGTAAGGTGTTGGTAAGGTGTCAGTGAGTGGTTAGTAAGGTGTTGTAAGGTGTCAGTGAGTGGTTTGTAAGGTGTTGATAAGTGGTATAAGTGTCAGTTACATACTGTACATGTAACAGTCATGATATTATACTCAGAGTGAAGGGAAGCTGTATATTTTTCAATCTAGTCTCCTCCCCCCCCCCCCCCCAACACACACGCACGTTTTAGGGACATGAGTTACATAATCCATTAATCCATTATTAAGTAAGAGAGAAGTATAACAGCCCTACAAGATTACAGATGTAGGTCATATGCATCAACTCTAACCTATTAAGAGGTTATACAGCAGAAAGATGTAGTTGCACCTAGAGATTTGACCACTCAAAGTGCACACTGCAAACAGAGATTAGACAGGATATTGTACCAAGCTCATCAAAGACCTCTGAACCACCTCTACTAATCACCATGACAACAGACAACAATAGACCCACATTTAATTAATCATCACGCTTCTTATACACTTTCATCCTTTGCTGCCTCAACATTCTGAAGGCAGCTGTTCACGACAACTGTATTGGAAACATTAATATTTATGTTTCACAAACAATGTAAACGTGTGAAAACTGAAAATTCTCTTTCTTATCTTTTATATCCTTTTAGATAGAATTGCCTGTCTGAGAAGTTACAAGTTGAGAGGGGATCAATCCCTTAGAAGGTTTCATCTGAGGGGCCTACATCCATCTCTTTTGCTCCACCCCTTTATATTTCAGCTTAGTGAGTATTCACAATTTATAGGGTTTTGGATAGAGGCCAAGGTATGACAGTACTTGAATGGGGGGCAGCCATTCATCCCTATTATTTAAAAGCCAAAGATCTAGTGTCTACTCAAAGACTGCATAGTTTGGGGGATCAATGAAAGATATGGTATGTTTGTGAGTGGGGGTGGGGCCATACAAAAAATAATTTGTAGATGTAAAATCCCTATAGCCCCTCTAACTATTATATTTCAATAAATTATGAACCCTCCCTTAGCTCAGTGAGGGGTGATTGTGAACGTCCTAAATCAAATTCCTTCAAATTTAAGGTTTTCAATTTAATCAGTGTCAAAAGAATCTGATTTAAAGTTATTTTGAAATACCTGGAAAATCTTCCTCTAAATCAGTATCATAATCTGAGCTTGCTTCTGAGATCAGGACATCAGCAAAGCAAGGTGCTTTAGGAGTCTTGATTTCACCATCACTAACATTTTCACTTATTTCTTCATCTTCTTCACTCTCCTGTAGAGCTACCATGGTAGAGACAGATCCAGGTACCAGTGACATGGGTTTAAATGAAGCTTTTTTAGACTTGCTGTGAGCTGGTGATTTGAATGGATGATCCCCATCTGGTAAGAAAAGTATTTAAGGCGCTTTACTTAACAGATCAAAAACAGTTTTCCGTGTTTGATACTCTGATCACAACACACGGGATGTCAAGAGGACACGAGAGGAGCGAAGGAAACCATGATGCGTAGCAGAAAAGAGCAAGAAAAAAAAAGCAAAGTATAAGTAAATTCTCCCTACATGCCATCTTATTCAAACTGGCCAATGAGGGTGTGCGATAGATTAAAATCTGACAGTTGCAATACTCTAGCACGCTTAAATGACGATAGCGTGCTTTGATACTCTCATCAAACATGGTTTTCGAGCAATCATAGCATGCGTAGTATCCCAATTATTTTATAACATTCAATCAATCCTAATGGTGCATTTAGGAGGTCCATGCTGTAAATGGTTCACATCAGTTCTTGAAGTGGACCAGCCCATGCAGCATGAATGAGTTCTAAATATTACTGACGCATTACTATCTGGCCGCTCTGACTAATTAGTTCAACTTAAAGAGAAGCATCTTATGTGTCACTAGTCTTAAAGATATCATTATGGCTTTATTAAGTAAATTCCCTTTTTGAGTTGTTGCTGGAGAAACAAGGTGTCTGTGACAAAAGACCATGTGACTCTGCCACTACTGTTGTCTCCCCAACAACTGACTTATAAAGGTTCACCAATAATTTCTTACCACAGGGATCCCACTGCAGAGAAATCATACACTTACCTTTTGCATCTTGTGGTCTTAATCTTTCTTTGTCATTAGATGTCTGGTCAGTACCTGTTGTATCATCCCATGCAATGTGTGTTTTGGGTTTGATTGACTTTCTTCTGCCCTTGGGACTTCTGCTTCCTTTGGGCTGTCTGGGTTTCTTAGAAAAGCTTGATCTATTTGAATTTTTAAAAAAATATTATTTTAAATTTGAAAGTCTTAATTAAATCCTAGTTAAACACATGATAGGTTAAAAACAGTCAATTATTAATTAGTTCTTGTTTAACAGCTTCATTGATTATGGAAGGGACCACCATTTTATATGGTCATACCGGCCATGTATGAAGATCTAACCAAATATTCTAATAATCACAAAGGCAGCCACCTTTTCTCAGTCATTTTAATACCCTGAGTGTTGGCCCAGCTTGGACTAAAACCAACTTCCTACACAAAAGATAAACACTCTTAGACAATCAGAGGTTGGTTAAATCATGAGATTTTGCTTTGCCTGGCAACATATGGTCATACTGAAGTAATGTGCAAGATATTGTTTGTAAAGCCCCCATCAGTTTTGTGATAAAACCATTATCATCCCTTAGCAGGATATTCATTAAGTTTTGAAATAATATATAGGAGAATATCATAAAGCCAAGCAAACACTTAACCAATTACTAAGCTGTTATTGGTAACTTAAGCCACAGAATTTTGCTGACTCTAGATACCGGAGCATTCTTCTATATATCTACTGACCCTTAATGAAGACCCTGAATCAGTCAGTACCTATCTTTATTACCTAGGAGTACTTGATACACTTGGTGCATCATCTGACATCCCTGAAGCAGATTTGGGGCGTGACGGAAGGCTGTATCCATGCAGATCCTCATAAAAACCAACTGTTGTTTTTGGTCTGAGGAGAGACTCAGTGGATGGTGAAAGAGTATTAGGCCTATCAACAAGTTTGAATGGACCAGAATGTTCCTTTCCTGGTGCAGTCAATGGTCTAATAGATGGGATCTGTAGATGATTAAATACTGTGGTTAAAAATGCAAAATGGCGACCGCAAATTCCAATGACTTAAAATACTATTAAGCTGAAGAAAAACCAAATGCCAGCTTTGAAAAGAGCAGTGCTTTACACTTTAATAGCAACTCTACAAAGATTCATTATGTCAAGTGTTAAATTGGTGGAGAAAACTTTATTATGTCTGGTAGGGTAATATAACACTCAGACATACAAACGTCTCTAAATTTGTCAATTTTCAACTAAAGTGTTTTCGGCTGATATAACACCTGAGATAATAAATCTTCATAGAGGTGCTTAAGTAAAGGTGCTTTTTCTAGTGCTGTTATTTTTTTWAATTTTTTACTCATTTTGTTTTTTTGGCTGCCATTTTGGCAAAGGGTTTAGTATGCTATAAACTTGCCATTCATTTCAGTGTCAGAACCCACTAAAGACAGGCCCTGAGGCCCTGTTAGGAGTAAATTCGGACAAAGGCATGCCATGCACGACATGACTTTTAATCGGCAACCTAAAGCCACAAACTATAGAGCAACAAACGACAGACTGTTGTAATTTGAATTACCGACAGTGAGTCCCTGTTAGGTGTAGATTCTGACAAGTGACACAAGCGCATTCCAACATTGCGATATATAGGCGTTGTGAAACTCCAATGGAGGACAAATATAGGTACCCCACCTAATCAATAGGGCCTCCTGCATAAATACCCTTGACTTTCAGAGACTTTGATGGGGCAGTATTACAATAATCGTGCAAGTATTTAGCTCTTTTACAGAGAATATTGCAGAAACCCTTCGTTTTAAGTCAGAAAAAGAACAATAACCTATAACAAAAAACAACAATAAACAAAAGGCAATGGATAATGTTCGCGCGGACAGGAAGAACCAAAGCCATAATTAATAAGCTGCATGTGTCACGTCCCAACACAATATTCGATTGAATAATTTGACACTCTGTCTTTCTTTATAAAACTTTATCAACTCTGAAAGCAAATTGATCATTTAACGATTCTCGATAAATTTGTAATGAAGTTATCAAATTATAAAACCACTGAATGAAAAATGACCGAATAGTTCTTGGACGACACAACAATTGTCTTAGCAACGAATAAACTATGTAAATAAGTTTTTAACTTTATCAAACAAGAATTTTCATAATCAGAATTTCTTTTGCATAAAAAGCAAGCATAAAAACTTAATTCAATGATATTAGCTGCAGTATTAATAAGTTATTCAAACTAATATTTTTAAATCATATGACATTATGGAAGACATAGCTACAGTGTTCACATTTACCTGTTTTAAAGGACGCCGGTTTTTTTGGCCGTTGTTGTTGTTCAGTTCTCGCTGTTTTGCAGTTTTCATGTTTGCAATTTTCATCTATTAGTATTGTTTTCTATTCTGAGGCTAAAATCATGTAAAATGGGGCCTCCGAAGAGGCCCGATGACCTTAGTAACGAAATGATTTGCGCCAACTAGGTTCGGGACGTACGATCTGAGCTTTTAGAAGAGTTCGATACGAATAGAAGGACAATCATTCTATTGTCGGGGGAGGGGTGAGACGAGATTTGAACTAGGGGAACACAGGACCGGGAGAGGGCAAAGGGTGCCCGTGACCCCCGTGTACTGATAATAGTGATTAATGTACCAAACATTAACAAAAACACTCTTTAGTAATTACTACTTGTTGGGTTACCTGTGTAAGTGCCTGCCTTAGGTCAGCGGAATCTCACGTTTTGTAACGACGGCCATGTTTGTGTAAGC